CAAGTTAGATAGGGTTTAGGGTATTTCTGATAGGAAATAGCTTGGTGAAGAGTGCTTACCTTTAGCACTCCTGAACGCGTCCTTTTATAGTACCAGACAGGATCACTTTTAGGGGACAAGGTCAGAGGCGCTGATTGGAGGGTTGTGCGCCTCTTTCTGTCACAGTACTGCCATTGGCTCCGGCGGTAATGCTCTGATCCTTCGCCTTGTCGCTTGACCGTATCCTTTGTCTTGATGCTGGGAGCGTCCCTGGAGGGCGCGAGCCTTTCGTCGGGACACCCTGCTCTTAGGGGCGCTGGCGGATGCTGAGTCCGCTTCTCTTGGCTCGGCCAGGGCGCCAGGTTTCATGGCCGGGCGCGACTCTTCCGTGCTGGCTTGGGCACGTCATCAAATACTATACAAGGTCCATTTTCGTGTAAAATCTATACAGCTGTTAGGCGTGGGCAACACCCACAGGGGCGTTTTTGCGCGTTATGACGGCACAAACACCGCCCCCTTCACCGTTTTTGCGCGTTATAGACCTAATCGTTGCTTCCCGTTACCACCACAACATTCATTTCATGCCGTTTCCTTCTTTTTCTCTAAAAACGCCAGTATGGGCGTTGCCCGCACCTATGAGTTTAACAAAAGGGAGCTGATATATCCACGAACATTTTTTGATATTTCCACATATTTTTTATTTAAATTGACAATTATGCCCCTGCTTTATAAAAATAAAATGGATCCTACACAGTAACCGGAAAAACTCTAAACACGAACCAGATATTTGCCGGAGAAAAACCACGTTCGCCGAAGAAGGCTTGCAAAGCAATTTCTAAATGCAAAAAAGACCATTACAGAGCACATATCAAAACCAGTTGCAGGTGGGCAAAATTAAGCAAAAATGTACCATTACATAGCACAAACTGATTTTCTTTCTGGATTTTTTTTGGCTTCTTTGACTTTCTCGCCGGAATGTGAGGTTCGTGTGTTTCTTGAAGTGGGTTTCACAGGTTTTGTTAATAACACGGGAGTTTAGGCTCTAACCCAGGTGACAAATGAAACATACACAGTGAATCACTTACCTTTTACTTGGCTGAAGATTGCACCGCCAAAGAAGCAACACCGTGTTTAATCAGAACATGTTGTTGATTAGTGAAGAAGGGTTTAGCGGTACAATCAAGGGCCTGAACTATGAGCTCTTGATCTAGGGTATTCAAACCCTCGTGATTTCTTGTTCAAAACACGTTGCAGACTGCATCAGGAGAAGGTTTAGGGAGACAATATCGTACAGAGACAAAAGGTGGTCAGGTTTGAGTCGGGAAGAACCATCGGAGAAGAGAGGGAAACCGGTGATTTGTGACGTATGACGGAGAGCTGATGTGGGTTTTTGGTTTTATGGTGAGAAAAAGAGAGATATTACTGTAATTTTAGGGATACAACTATTCCATAGATTTGATTTTCTAATCCCTACTAAATGAAGGGTATAATAGACAATTACCTTTAAAAATACGTGGATGCATAAAAACAACCGTAGAAATATCAGCTGCCCCTTGACAAAATATAAACTTTAAAGGTGTTTTACACTTTTATGCCGATTTTGATATATTTAGGAGGATGTATTTCAATAAAATACGAAAGTGGCTATTTTCTGTGGGCTAGCCTACAAACAAACCACGGGCCACTGACATAGTATTCCTATTTTAAGCGTTGAAGAATCGTCTACGAGTTTCTTTGATTGAGAAATAATTGGATAACTTGCTTTGGGACTGATCCCGGGAACCGATATGGCTCCGAAAGACGAAATTGATGGAATGAAGTTCGAGCAGAGACATGGAAAGGAGCGCGTTAGAGTTGGTAGAGTCTGGAGATCCGGAAAAGATGGCCGCCACTTCTTCGTCGAATGGAACGTCAGCATCGGTCTCCTCTCTGATTGTATTCCCGCCTACGTTCGCGCGGATAATTCCGATATCGTCGCAACTGATACCATGAAAAACACTGTAAGTTGTCTACTTGCCTACTGTTTCCTTTTAGATGTTATAGTAGTAACTAATGGATGATTTGATCTATTTAATTTACCCTTGTTAAGCTATGATTCGAGCTCTCGATCTAGCTTTTAGCGGTAAAGATTTTTTTTTTGGGTTTTTAAGATCGAGGACAATTGAACTCTATAGAGATGAAGCTGGTATAGGGCATAGAAACCTTGGGCCACTTCAGGGTTCATCCAAACCTTCTTTAGCTGCAAGTGACCTGACCTCTTACACTCTGCCCAAAACATCCAGAAACGTCAAAACAGCGTTAAAATTCTCAAATTAAGGCTAAATGGATTCCAATACCCAATCTGTGAGGTCATGGATTTTGCCAGGGGAGCATCCGATCCATATGCGATCTTGATAAACAGAATTAGATTAAGGTGTGATTTGGGTTGTTGTCTTGGAATCACTATGGGTATAATTTTGATAGTAGGGTGGAGCAAGAATGGGCAAAATTATTGTAACTATCATTCTGATCCCCAAAACCTCTCAAACTGAACACAAATGGATCCTAATATTCTTGCATCTCCTTTTCTAAATGTTTATCTTGCAAAATCATATTATTTCCCACTATCCTTACTCTGCTTTCTACATTCACACCGTTGCATGTAATTTGAAGCTCCTATTGGCTGATGGAATTGCAGGTATATGTGAAGGCAAAGGAGTGTTCAGAAAAGGTTTCCGTGGAGGAATTTGCAATTCTACTTGCCAAACACTTCACATCATTTTATCCACAGGTAAATTTATATGGTAGTAAGGCCTCTCATACTCAATTGTTAGTGATTATTACAAAAATGTTGATAGTTTTGGTTTTGGTCCACATAATTTCTTTATTTTTATCATTGTTGAGGGCCATTTAGATTTGATTAATAGTCAAAACATTTTCATCATAGTGTTGCGTGTCGAACTTGCCTTTCTTTTGGACAAGAGCATTATTAGAAATTGGGGCTGTGTAGATATGTATATCTAAGGGAATGGTCATTTGATAGTTTATTAATTAAAACTTGTTTTACATTACTTATCATTTGTTTCTAATTAGCTACCCATAATAACTCTTGGTTCATGTGAAAATCCATATTTTTGGTATGTAGGTTACAACTGCAATCATCCAGATAGTGGAAAAGCCATGGGAGCGTATCAGCATATCTGGTCAACCCCATGACCATGGTTTTAAACTTGGATCCGAGAGACATACAACCCAAGTTATTCTCACCAAAAATGGGACTTTGCAGTTGACTTCTGGTGTTGAGGGGTTGGCATTGCTGAAGACAACAAAAGTAACCTACTTCCTACTTCCTCCCTCAAATCATCCAGACTTATTTCTGGTAATTTATGTAAAATTAATGTCTAAATTACAGTCAGGTTTTGAGGGGTTCATACGCGACCACAACACAATACTGCCCGAAACACGAGAGAGGATGCTCGCTACTGAAGTCTCTGCAACATGGAGGTAATGTACTAGACACTAGTGTTTGGTATGATCATGATGGAATCGGAGAAGGAATGGTTCATTCCATTCTTCTAGTTTGTTAGATTTTCATTTTCTTAGCAAGGGGTGTTGTTATTTTTTGATTCCAGATACCATTTTGAATCTCTACAAAGTATTGGCAAAGTCCCACTTGGGTTCACTGAAAAATACCTTGATGTGAAGAAGGTTTTGGTGGACACTTTCTTTGGTCCTCCAAAAGAGGGGGTGTACAGCCCATCTGTTCAAGCCACTCTTTATGACATGGCAAAAGCTGTTCTTGCCAGGTCTCTCTCTAAATACATATATATATATATATATATATATATATATATATATATATATATATATATTAATAATTAATTACATGGCTGAATGCTGATAGGTTTATTATTTAAATATCAGATTTCCAGATGTATCATCGATTCAGTTGAAAATGCCAAACATCCATTTTCTGCCTGTTAATTTATCAAGCAAAGTCAATCCAGTAATTGTAAAGGTATATTTGGTGTTCATTTGTTGGTGATTTTAGTTGAAGTTGAATGTTTTATGGTTATTAAGTATTATGTATATGATTATGATTTTTTGTTGATGTGTTTTTGTTTTGACAGTTTGAAGATGATGTGTACCTACCAACAGATGAGCCACATGGATCAATTGAAGCAAGCTTGAGCCGCATTCGGTCTAAAATGTAGAAGTTTGATGGTGACTTACTTGGTCTTTTTCATTTTTCTATTAACTTATCTTGAAAGATGGGATGCTGTTAAAAAAGTATGATGTGTAAATTATGTGTACTTATTATTAATAATAATCAATTTCTAATAATGCATGCAATTCTGTCACCATTTTTCTGTCAATCTTTTTTAGTGTGTCCTTTGAATAAAGGGCGATACTTCCATATTTTCATATGTATAGTTTTAAAAAAAAAGCTTTGTTAATTGTAACCATGACATAAAGTACACGCATTATAGACTTTGGCAGTTTCTTTGGAAGGTTTCTAACATTTTAATAAAAATCTTCAAAATTGCGATGTGATTCAAGCATTAAGTAAGTTTTTAGGAAAATTTTTATTGTATCATGTAGGATTATTTGGATTGTAATTTTTGTTAAGATACACAAGTCAGTAAAGATGAAGGTGTTTGCAAAAGAAATAAGCCGAATATCACAATGTGTGAAGATATTAGGATTAATAATCTTCATATTCTTATAAAAATAACAAACAAATCAACTATATCTGCGTATGTATGTGTATATTTTAGGTAATGTACAAATTGTTTATTAAATGAGTTGACAGTTTCAAATTTGTCATCCAACTCTAGAGACATAGGCCATACAACTTCAAGTTAACGCCATTTATAACAAATTTTACCAATGAGTTATTCTTTTGAGTTTTGGATACGAAAAATGAAGTGGAATGCGATATTATTGATTTGAAAATTAAATATACCTTTTTAGATATTTTTTATAGTCAAATAGTCTGTTTTATATCTCTGTCGTTCGTTTCATTCACACACAGGTTCTAAAAGAGAATTCACGCAACTGCATCTTCCAAATTGCAACACAATGACACTCTCTCTCTTTCTGCACAGACACGGATACAAACATTTATATGCAGATGCAGTCTGATTTGTGTCCAGAATCTGAGTTTCATCACTAGTCATGAATTCCAATAATTCACAAAATTGCAATCCCCGGATTTCAATAATGAAATCCTCCTGTTTCTTCTCAATTTTAGTCATCGTCATTGCAATTTCAGTCTCATTCATCATCCCCGAAACAAATTATGTAAAAACTCAATACCTAAATCCAACTGTCTCGCCGCTTCTTTCGCATATTTTGAGAATTCTTGGGTTCAATCGCACAATTTTAAACCCTAGTAAATCTACGTCAACAAGCCCTAATCTGCTTTCTAATCACTGTTTGCTATGGATGGCTCCATTCTTTTCTGGTGGCGGCTATTGTTCTGAAGCTTGGTCTTATATATTAGCGCTCAATCAGTATAGCAAAACCAGTAACTTCAGATTGAGTATCGCTCCACACGGGGATAGCGATAATTTTCAATTTTGGGAGGGTTTGCCTGTAGAGATGCAAAGGTTAGCTTCTGAGCTCTACCAAACTCAATGTAGACCAGAGGAGTCGATTGCAATTTGTCACAGTGAGCCTGGTGCTTGGAGTCCGCCATTGTTTCAAACAACACCTTGTCCACCACCAAACAGCAGGTTTACTATTGGCCGAACAATGTTTGAAACAGATAGGGTGAACCCCGAGCATGTAAAGCGATGCAATTCCATGGATATGGTGTGGGTTCCTACTGAATTTCACGTGTCTTCGTTTGTAAATAGTGGCGTTGATCCATCAAAAGTCGTGAAAATTGTACAGGCCATAGATACGGAATTCTTTGATCCAATCAAATACACCCCATTGGATCTTTCAGCTTTAGGGAATTTGGTACTCGGTTCAAGTTCAGAACGATTGAATTCTAGAAATCCATTTGTGTTCTTGAGTGTGTTCAAATGGGAGTACAGAAAAGGTTGGGATGTTTTACTACAATCTTACCTTAAAGAATTCGATTCTTCTGATGGGGTTAACTTATACCTGTTAACAAACCCTTACCATTCTGATAAAAATTTCGGGAACAAGATTCTAGAATTCATACACGATTCCAAGTTGGAAAAACCCATAAACGGTTGGGCTCCAGTTTATGTGATTGATTCTCACATAGCCCAAGTTGAGTTTCCAAGACTTTATAAAGCAGCCAATGCTTTTATCTTGGCATCTAGAGGTGAAGGGTGGGGAAGGCCAATTGTTGAAGCCATGGCTATGTCTCTACCAGTGATTGCCACAAACTGGTCAGGACCAACAGAGTATTTGACCAAAGTCAACAGCTACCCACTCTCTATTGATAGAATGAGTGAAGTTACTAATGGGCCATTTAAAGGCCATTTATGGGCAGAGCCTTCTGTTGATAACCTACAGTTTTTAATGAGGCATGTAATGAGCAATCCAGAAGAAGCCAAGAGTAAAGGTGAGAAAGCCAGACAAGATATGATCAACAAATTCTCCCCTGAGATTGTTGCAAATATAGTTTTTGATCAAATACAAGGAATTCTTGAAAAACTAGCCTAACATCTTTTACATTAATTGGAAGAGGATACATTTTATTTGTTAGCATCAAGCCAATCAAGAATACCCTTTTCTGTTTCAGTAAGTTCTTTCTTCTGTCTCAATGTGCCTTCTTCAAAAGCAAAGTAGTCCTTGTAATTGCGCTTGTAATAGCTGTCTAGTCTCTGCAATAGAAACAATAAAAAAAACATCACAAATAGCCACCTGAGATTTCTTAAACGAGTCGAAAAACCAACATCATTTTTTTTTACCTCCTTATCATTCTTGGTTTTGTTTTCCTCTGATTTCTTCAAGTACTCTGAGTAAAAGGCATCATAATTATTGTTAATTTTGGTAACTTATTTAAACATACGTGTTTTATAAGGAGACATACTTTGAAGAAGTTCAGTCTTTGAGTCATTAACAGCAGCTAAAGTTGCAAGCAGGATTGCTCTTCTTCCTTCTCCTAGTCCATTACTGTCTGTAACCCTTGTTGTCCTTCTGAATCTTGAACCTTTGACTTTTTCTCGACTGTTTTCAGCAGCTTGAATTGATGAAGCCAATGTAGTAATGTAAGCTCTTATTGCCATTACAAGTTATTTCTTTACCTTATCCTCCTCTCATTTCAAAAGTTCCTCACTCTGTGAATATATTATAATCAGTAGCTTCTCTCTCTCTTTTCTTGGCCACTAGTTATATTTATTATGGATATGATGATGGTGACTAGGAAATTTGGCTGCTTGTGAACTTGTGACTTCATGAATTCTAATCTTGAATATCTGAAATTTTTTGTGAGAGGTCCCAATTACTACTTTGATATTTATGTACACAAATTTAACATGAGTTTTAAGACTAACCTCCAAGTTCACTATACTATCGTGAATCTTTGATGCTAATCCCAAGCAGGTAAAACCATTAATTCAGGGTTATCAAAATTTAATAAAATTTATTGGATAAGTTCTTAAGGCAACCATAATATCATTTTTCTTTTGAAAAAAATTAATATAATGTATTTCTTGTTTTACTTAAACCTTCATCTATGTATCTATGAAATTACAATATACCAATTTGGGTCACCAATAATTTTAGCTCACTTTTTAATGCTGTTATTCCAGTCCTTAGGAAGACTTTTGGTCATTTAAGAGCATCACAACAGAAACTTTTTGAAAGTTTTTTAAGCAAAAACAAAAATCGTGAAAATTGAAAAAGGAAGCAAATGGAGGAACTTTTCCGACGTTATCTTTTTTCATAGAGTTTGGGCGTGTTTGGCAAAAGTAGCTGTTAGCTGAAAGCGGTTAGCTGGTAGCTTTTGAAATATATAAAATTACATAAAAAGACAATTGCTTAAAAATAAATAAATATATACATATATTTTTAAGGGTAATTATGGAAATTGATTTCAAAAGCTCAGTAGCATTTTGTTAAACACTACATGAAGTAGCTTTTAGATTTGAAGCGTTTTGTTTAAACTAAAAGTTAAACGCTCGTACTGCCAAACGAAGCTTTTTGTTTAAACTAGAGCGTTTTGTCAAAAGCTAAAAGCTAGAAGCTCCCAAACGCTTCTAAAAGCTCCGTGCCGAACACGTCCTTTGTTGATTAACAAAGTCTTGGTATTAGTTTTTTCTCTGATTTGGTGGGCCCATCGGGTTTCAACCAACTGTAGATTTTTAAATGAGTTTTTTTCATATTAAGATTTTTAATCAAATTGAAAAAACTTCATGATGTTACTTTCGACCCTTTCTTACTTGAATCGTTACTTGTTTCATCCAAACCCATCATCCACATCACACGTAACCTAATCAAGAATTGATAACTATTTCGAAGGGATAGTTCTAGTAAATAAGATTTATTCCACATTTGATGTCAAGAGCTCATATGTTCATATCCATTCGTTATACAATATACTAAATTACATGTTAGAAAATAGGGGTAAAAACACTTGGAAATTCTGAGAATCGTGTATAACACACTTTCAAATTAAAATATTTGGGTGGTACTTCAAATTTTTAATCGGATAAGACTCAGAAAATGAGAGAAAACAGAAGAGAGAATGTTCAAGATGTTATGAAGAAGAAAAGTACCAAAACTGATTTCGAAATGATCATATAACAAGAAAAACTTTCTGTCTTAAAACTGCCAAATGACAGTTTTATGTCCTAAAAGTGCCTGTCCAAAAAACGGTCATAAACCAACTTAAATCCGGGTCTAAAATATGGATCACAGAATCGGGTGCAATTATCGAAAATCCGGATTTCTAATGCATTTTTAATATAATAACATAACATATATAAAAAATTTCCCAGCCACTCTGCCCCTTGGACCCCGCTCCCAGGGGCGCTGCCCCTGGATCCCTGTTCGTTCAGGGGTTTTGCCCATAAATAGCAGTATACTTTAAACAATGACAAAACTAAACAAATGTGCACTCCGTACCATACTAATTTGTTCAATAATTGTCAAAGTGACATTGATCAACAAATTAACCTTATTACACTTAAATAATATTAGTGATATAAAATCACCAACATTATACAATTGAAGTAATAATATATTAGTTTATGAAATTATAATGAAGATAAAATATATATAGAATTAACCTTTAGGGCTGTCATTTGATATTAACTTCTTGTGGAATGTTTGTTATTCTCTTCTTATTTTAACCTTCACAATTCGATCACTTTTGCCCTTTCCTGAAACAAAAAAAAAAAAAAAAACACATAATTTTAGAGCTATTAATTGGCAAGTAAAGATTTAATAATGTTATTACCTATATTCGAAGTCATATTGACGGGCTTTTGTTCAGCTTTAGTGATATTTTTTTTAACTTTTGAACATACAATAGAGCTAATGCGAAGATACATGAAGTTCCCATATTAAAAAGAATTGGGCCACCGAGTGGGCTTTATTGTCATTTATGATTTTTATTTTTATTTTGACCCAATAAATAAATGGGTTTTCCTCTCTTAACATGTGACATAGTTCTTATATTGGTTATTGTTAATTATTAATGTTAATTAATGCTTTAATTTAAAATAATTATGTTAGATTTATAATTTACAGATTTTATGATAACTGAAACAACACAAAACAATGATTTATGCATATGCGTATTAATTCTATTATGCACATAGTATCATACATATGAATATTCAAATATTTATGCATATCGATTATTTTTTGCAAATATGGATCTTTTAAATATATTTTATATATAATGGAAATTTGTTTATATTTTCCAAGTACATAAAAAGTATATATTTCCATATGCATGCATTTGTGTATGCTTATATGCACGTATTATATAGATAAATATAAATATATGCATAGATGACATATGAATAGGCATTCACATGACACATAAATATCCATATATTTGTATTTTTGTACATACAATTACATATGCACAAATACATATATGTATACACATATATACATGCATATTTGCATATATATATATATATATATATATATATATATATATATATATATATATATATATATATTATCAACATTTGCATTTGTCATGTCAAAAGTAATAATAGTTAAAATTTCCATTAATTATATGTAGATGCAATTGCATATGTACATATATATGCATATGCATGTGTGTATATCTATATGGTTTATATATAGATATATATATATATATATATATATATATAATATATATATATATATATATATATATATAAAAGTTCAATAGAGAACCACAATTATTGGTTCTCCAAGGAACCAATTTTTTTTTTAAGTTCTAGAGCTTATTCTTTATCGAAAAAAAAAACTAAAAATATCTAAATTCATAACTTAACATTGTGATTGTTAAATATATTTTTCGGATTCACCGTGTGAATTTAGATTCACATTGTGAATCTTCAAAAATTCACATTGTGAATTTGACGAAAAAAAATAATTTTTTTTATCAAATTTGATATCATTGGAAAAAGGATAAAAAGTTATGAATTTCTGTATTTTTAGTTTTTTTTTTGATAAAAAATAAGTTCTAAAAGTTGAAAAAAAGATTGGTTCATTGGTTAATTATGGTTCTCTATTGAACCTCACCCTATATATATATATATATATATATATATATATATATATATATATATATATATATATATATTTGAATATGTTGTATATATGCATATGTAAATATACAATGATCTATTTCTGAAACAACCAACATCCTCACAATCTAAAAGACAAAAATATTTCTAGAAGGCAAAAGTTTAGATTAAAGGGAACACCTCTAACATGCATACAATCCAGTCAAACATTTTCTACTTACGATAATATTAGAAAAAAAGTGCAGTGGCTGGCGAACCTCTTCAACATTATCTCAGAGTCGGATGAAATGCCCGAAGAGTTAAGATCTAATATTATCATCCCAATTTACAAGAACAAAGTAGATACCCAAAGTTGCGGTAACTATAGAGGTATTAATCTACTGACTCATACCATGAAACTATGAGAAATAGTCCTAGAGGCTAGGCTGAGAGGGGTAACAACAATATCACAAAACTAATTTGGCTTTATACCCGGGAGGTCCACAACTGAGGCTATCCACCTCTTAAGACGTCTTATGGAGAAATTCAGTGAAAGAAATAAGGATCTTCACATGATGTTTGTTGACCTTGAAAATGCATATTATAGTATACCAGGAGAGTCAATCTGGAGGGCCATGGAAGCTCGAAGAATCCTTGAGAGATATGTTAGGGATATCCACAACATGTATTGCTGCTCTACGACCTGTTTGTGCGGACTATAGTTGGTGACACAGAGGCTTTCCAGTGGAAATTGGGCTCTATCAGGGATCATCCTTAGCCCTTACGTATTCACTTCGATTATGGATGACATTTCTCGTGTGATTCTGGGTGGGTACCATGGTGTATCTTTTTTTTTCAATGATATTGTTTTGGTGGCAGAGTCTTGTTTTGAGTTGAATGCTAGGCTAACTTCGCGGAAGACGTTGTTGGAAGAAAAAAGGCATAAGGTGAAAGAAATAATGAAGGAATAGAAGTGAACATAGGCAGGGGCGTATCTAGGTTAAGGGAAGGTAGGTCCTAGGACCTACCTTTTAAAAAAAAATTATAATAGAGGTGTATATATATATATATATATATATATATATATATATATATATATATATATATATATATATAAGAGAGAGAGAGAGAGAGCTAGGTTCAAATGTTTTTAGCAAGTATTGTGTGCCTAAATGCACCAATGAGAATTCAAGAAATAATAAACAATTAAATAAATCATTTAAGGGTATTCTGGACATTTTGTACTTTTTAATTAAGGAATCATTTAATTGAAATCCTGCAATTAAGGAAATAAAATCAATATTTTTGACCTAGTCTCTCTCTTGCATCATGTCTTATATTCAAGGAATTACCAAGATGAATGACCGACACCCCACAACACAACCGATCAAGACCTCAATTTCTTCTTTCTTCTTCCAGTCGACGCACACCACAGATAGAAGGAGTCGATCGCTTTTTTTTTTGATGCGCACACACGAGATGGAGAAGAGAAACGCACACACCCCTTTTCTTCCCTCCTGACGATCGATACTTGATCTCACATAATCCTAATCAATATTCTACCAAAATTACATGGATTTGCAAACGATGCCCTGCACCGGAGTCGTTCCTCT